ATTTGACACCCATATCGATATTTAGTGTTGATAAAAATATTCCTAACCCTCCAAGACCTAGACCCGCCCTCTATGAGCGATTATTATTATTACAATAAAAAATTTTTTTAATTACCTTTTATTTGATACCCATATCAAAAAAAATATTTTTTACACCCACCCTCCCTCTATTCAACCCTCCCCCCTCTATCCACCCCACCCCCTCCCAGACCAAGTCTTACCCATCAAGACCAAGAATGAAGACTTTCAGTCAAGCCATATTAAAATTAGCTTTTATTTGATACCCATATCGATATTTTGTGTTGATAAAAAATATTTCTGACCCCCCAAGACCTGGACCCGTTCATTATGGGGGAGAGATTGACCTCCAGTTGAATAGATCTTTTGATTAGCTATCGATTGATACCCTATATTAGACATATCTTATTTCATAAGGCTAAAAAAACAACATAGAAAATAAATAATAACAATTATTTTAAAAAAATAAAGCAAAAAGCTCGTTAAACGCGTTTTAAATTAAGATTCTTCTATATCATGGTTCAAACCTGATAATACATAATTCTTTATCAAAATTAAATTCTTAAAGGGATCCGTTTAAAACCCGTGAAGATCCCGGTTTGTTCTGATCCCATAAAAATTACGACATATAAACATCCGTATTATTAAACTCAAATAATGTATAAAGCTTCAAAACGAAGTGATATAAAGAAGCTTATATAAAATTTAAGAAATCGGTAGAAAAACCTAGGACCAGTATTAAACGCGAATTGTCTTGGATAAGGATTCCACAATAATTGGGCTAATTTTGTTATTTCGTTTGGCATTTATTTATATTAAATACATTCTTAAAAAAATATATTATTTATTTATTTAAATGTAGGCGTTTACGGTTTTGAACGTGTTCCTTTTTTTATAAATGAACGTTGAACGCGAACATACTTAATATTTACCAATAAACGACGATCAAATAGAGGGACCAGGGCTAGTCACAAGGGACTTGTCAGTTCAGCTGATTTTATTTTAAAACCCGGTTATAAATTAAAATTATGTTCTAAATTAGAAATCTATTATATCCATATTTGGTGAAGAAACTAATTTATATTTTTTCAGAATTCTTCAATTATTCTATTTCTGATGTGGAAACTTTCATTAGAATCTATGACATCTGGACTGAATCAAGGAAAGTTGGCTTCAAAGTTAAACTTCAATTATTTTATTTTTGATGAGATCACAAATACATTTTATGGGTTCTTGATAAAAAGCCTAAAATGTTTTCATTTAAATTTAGCCTATTAAACTGTTACTAACTTAAAAACATATTACAATTTTTTTCTTTTAATGATAATAAATTTCAGTATTGAATGATTGACTTATTACAAAACAATAAATTAAATTTTTGGATATGGGCTTGGGCAAAATTTTTAAAACTTATGATGGGCTTGGGTTTGAATTTTTTTATTAAATATGGAATGGGCCTGCAAATTATTTTTACTGCTAATCTGGGCTGGAAGCTGATAAATAAATCAAGGCCCGTGAAGGTCTCTAATTTCAATAACTGAATTATTTCATTTCCCATCTAACTTTATTTGAACTTAAAGGAATAGGCAAACCATAGATATAAATCATTTGCAAAAAAAAATTCTGATAATTGCTGGATTCAAGAAATTGTTGGAAACAAGGAAATAAAGAAAGCCACTAAAGGGTATATATGGAGGAAAAATTAATCCATTTTTTTAGTAAATAACAAAAAATAATAATACTTGTTGTGAACTTGCCTCAAATTTACATAAAGAACCCGATGAACAATAAATTTTACCTTTTTTTGATGATGAATGAATCAGAAATTTTCCTATCTTATGAGATGTGATTCAGAAATTTATATTTATTTAAATGAGAGCAGGAGTTCGAACCCGAACCCGGAAAAGAAAACCCTAGTTTTTGGGGAAAAATATGAGCCCGAACCAAACCTGAACCCCGTTTATAAAATTTTCAAAATCCCGATCCGAACCCTGTAATTTTATTTGAGCCCGGGTTCAACCGTGTTCAGTGTATTGTTTAAATTAATATAAGATATTTGTATAATTTTAAATACAAATATCAACTTGATATTTAATAATATTTTTAAATAAGTGAAGTGTTAATAAATTTTAAACAACTTAATTCATTTACTCCATTTTTAAATATTTTAAAATTTATTCTCAAAGATTCTAATTGGATTGTTAATAAATTTTAAACAATTAAATTCATTTACGCCATTTATTTTTAATTTTTAACTTATTCTCAAAGATTATTAATTAGAGGAAAATTCAAGTCAAAGTAAAAATTATTATATTATATATTGTTAATTTAAAGAAATCCGTCTAAATAAAATTTTTAAAATTTATACATGACTATCCTTTGTATTTTTAACTATATTTTCCCTATAAATAAAATAAAAATTTTATTTTTTATAACAAATTTATGTCTAGTTTTTTTATTATGATTTAAATATAGAATTTTTTTTTTATCAATTCAAAAATTCTTAAACCCAAGCTGAACCCGGAACCAAACCCGAGTTCAAAAATATTTCCCTGAACCGAACTCGAACCGAACCCACCTATTTTATAAACCTTAAACCGAACCCCGGAAAAAAATTTGCCGGGTTCGCATCCCTGGATGAGAGGTTATTCTAATTTTCCATTATTTTTTATAAAATATTTTTATGAAATATATTGTAAGCAATTTTAATTTATGTACACAATAAAAAATCTTTTAAACTAAATTTTTATTCATTTGTAGTAATTTATAATATAAAAAATATATTCTGATAAGAAAATATTCATTCATCATCAAATAAAGGTAAAGTATATTATTCATCCATCATTGAATAAAGAAGAAAATTCTTATTCCCCGTCATTCTTGACGCGCTATCATAAATATGTAAAAATTATATTTATGTGCTCAATCTATCTATTATAATAATCGTCAAATTACCTTATGACAGCAATTCTTAAATCTGCCATCTGAGGGTTTTTCCAAAAAAAAATAATTGAGTTAAGAAGAAAATTCTGATTCCCCGTTATTTTTGATGGGTTATAATCTAGTATATATATATATTAGTGATCTGCATCGGGCCTAATTTTCAAGCTAGGCCCGAACCCGAAATTTTTTTAAAAAATATTTACCGGCTCGAATTTAAACTATAGAAATTCATTTTTATATACTCAAAATAAAAGATATATGTTATATGGCGTCTAGTTTTTATAAATAAAATCAAATATTTTTATTTTACTTAAAAAATTTAACTGAAAATTGATTAGATATATTTAAAAAAATTTCCAAGGCTCTACCCGGCCAGAATTTTTTTAAAAAATATTGGGCTCGACTCAGCCCGAACCCGATGGGCTGGGTCTACATATGCAGATCTCTAATATATATCTATTGTAATTTACAATATAATATCATTCAAATTATTACATTTAAAATAGATATGGACATTTTAGTTATCAGGATATTTATTTTGGCCTGTGATAATAACTTCCAATTATTGTTAATATATTTAAATATAGAATTAAATAATTTTCACGATAATTTATTATTTTTTTTATTAGGTATACCTATACTACAAATTTAAGACATTACAAAAAATATAAAATGGCTGGCACTATGCCCAAGATAGGTCAATATAATAACCAAAAAAATATTTGATGAGGAGGAAAATAAAATGGTTAAATATCTAATTTCATTTTTATGGTTTATCAATTAAAAATAATAAAAAATGTTTGTTTTATATGTAAACAGGACTATAAAATTTTCATAATTTTTAAGATTGGTTTGAATGCAGAGTTATGTAAAGGTTGGGCATATGGATCGTGAGAAAAAAAATTGCTATTTTATTTGTTATAATTGTAAATAGAATATTATATAAATAAAACATACATGAAAATCTGAAGAAATTTTTTTTGTATCTGAAGCCTAATAAATCACTTTATTCGACTTAGCCTCATCCATGATCCGACTAACCACGGGTTTGCTAGGTTCAAAAAATCGCTTTTACTAAAACATTTTTGAAAAAATTATTAGATATTTAAAAAATAAATAGTATATATTTATAGGTACGTGTTAGGTATCGATTGATATTTTACCAGATTTTATAAGATCATTATTTTCGGAGCTATGATGATTTTGACAAAATTTGAGCCGACTAGCCCCTCCATATTTTACTAATTTCATTTTGAAATAGACTTAGTTCGTTTTTAAATTATTTATTTAAAGGTTAAGAAATTGGGGCATCGTCGCCCTGGGCCGGCAAAAGTCTCCGCACGGCCCTGATTAGATCCCCTTTATTTTATGAGATATGAATAATAAATGAACCTATATTTTGATGAGAAGTGATTTATATTTTCTCTTATTTTCATAATTAGTAACTTCAATATAAACATAGAATTGTGTAAGGGTTATTATAAATCGTTAACAAGTTTTGCAATTCAAAATAGGGTATGAAAAACTCTCACCTAACATACAAATAAAGAGGTGAATTTTAGGCATTTTGATTTATCCATTACCAAACGAAGCAGAAATATCTGGTTAGTCGGTCATTCTTGACGGGTTAGCTACTAATTGTATATAAAATTAAATAACAGAATTGATATCAGATTTTAGTTAAATATAAAGATTAATTTAGTCCTATTATTTGTGATACGAATGTATTAATTAAATAGTTGTTGATTGGATTAAATTTTTGTAGAATGAAGAGGTTTTGAAATTATAAACTCGTATAATCTTATATTTTTTAATCCACATAATCTCAATTAATTTTTGTTACTATAATATTTTTATTAACCATAAAAATATTTCATTCTTTTATATCCTCAACTGAATTTTGAATACTCAGGTATTTTATTCATATGATTAAAATTGATGAGAATTAGTAAAATATGCATTTCTAATTCATCAATTATTCTTTATTTTGTAAAATTTGTTATAACTTTCTTTATAAGACTTGATTTAAGCACCAAATATTTTAACTATAATACATAATTTAAGTTTAACAAAATGATTCCTCTGAGGATTCGGATATATCGTCTTCAATAAATTTATCAGTATGCATTTTCTGAACATAATTTGGGTATGATTGTCTTTCTTGTAAGTTTGAGGGAAGTTTTCCTTTAACCTTATAAAAAAAATCAATAGCCTATTTATAAACATTAAACATTTCTTTGTTTAAAAAAATATAGGGGAGACCGGGGCAAAGCAATCAGAACCTGACGGGCCGGAGCGTATTTTTTTAAATATACCCGATCCGGCCGAATATTTTGAAACCTAATATTTTATATTGCCATTATTATCTATAAACATCAAAAATAAATATTAAAATTTTCGGGCCGAGTCTTGCAAATGGTACTCCTGTGGTCTCTAAAAGCGATTGACGGGGTAACAATGTTAACGCGAATAACCTTTTAGCTCTTATTTTTATATTAAATTTCTTAACTAAATTTTCTTTTTAAAAACTTTCTGGTTTGACATGTATTTCCAAAAGACCCTTTTTTACCCTATAATTATAAAAATCACCATTTAGTCTATTATGCTTTTATATGCATAGTAAAATAAAACATATTAAGGTTGAATTTAGAATTTGTATATATATGTCCCTAAAAACTATTGCTATAGAACAAAATAGAGGAAGTTTATAGCTCAAATAGAAGTCGCCAATAACTATTTATACAATATATATCATCCTGGGGTAAATTTGTTATGGGTAAAATGGTTAAAATATTCCGTCTGATTAAGCTGTAAAAAGAGGCCAGCGAATAGGGCGATAAAATTTCCAAATAGTGAAAGTAACCAGACCCACTCAGAACGCTGCTCAATTTAAAATAAAATTTCAACAGAAGTGTGTGACTCTATTCGGATACTAAATGGATAGTTAATTTGTTAGAGATCTATATGGTCTTTTCGATAATTTTAACAGATAAAATAATTAGACCATTAGGTTTCTAAACTCTATCATATGCAACCAACCACTTTTTATAAAAAAGTTATCTGATTGTTGAACCATTTATGTCAGTTTTGGTTAACCTTCACTATTTATTTTTATATTTATAAAATTTTAAGTATGCCAAATATTTTATATAATTCAATAAGTAATAAGATATAACCTGTTTAAATGTTAATAAAGGCTTAATGGAAAATTTGTTTTCCTTAACGAAATCATCATTTTGAGTTGTAAATCGTAATTGTAATTGGTTTCTTAGTAAATATTTTAATGATTTTTTGAGTTCATTAAACGTGGGCCTAACACGGGGATCGTAATTCCAACACCACTCCATCGTATCATAACTAAACAATTTAAATGTATAATATAATACATTAATATTTATGTGATGTAAGATATTCGTGAATAATATATTGTTAAAATTATTTTTAGTATGTGTATAACTAATTTAGAAAATATTATATAATCAAAAGGTTTATAACATTGTATTACAATTCTTGGTTGCAATTTTCTGGTTGTGAAAGGCGGTAACCTTTGTTCAACAACATAATCATTTGATCATCATTAATTATCTCTGAGTATGGAATAGCTATTCTCATATTTAAAGTTAGTTTAACACCAAATATATAATATATACTTCCGTATGATGCTATTTCCCATAATAAAATACCGAATGACCATACATCCGATTTTTGACTAAATTCCTTATATTTCAATGATTCTAACGCCATCCATCTAGTTGGAATATCTAAAGATGTCTAAGAGTTAAACATTAATATGTAAAATTTATAAACTGAATATCTGAATCTTATTTTTACAGAGTCATGGAAACCCATGCCTTTTAAATTCAATGGAAATATAGTTTGATTATTATAAGGAATTAATGTAGAATATTTTTTTTCAGACTTATATTTAATATTTCATCAAAGGTATTATTTGTGTTATATATAAATTAATAACTTGAATAACGTCACTAGTTAAAGTTATATCTGAATGACATGCCAATGAAAAGTCGGATATTTTCGCAACAATAGTCAAATTGTATTGATCTTCTCCTAAATGAATAGATCTACAACATAAGTTACGATGGATTATCTATTAGATTTATATATATTAAGTTAGTAGAATTATAATAAATTAGAATTTATTTCAACTCAATTCTTAAAATAATAAAGGCTATTAAACAATTTAAGTAGCTAAGTTTGATTTTGATATAAAAATTACCTTTAATTCATTAACATATTCCATACCGCTAGCAATATCATGCGCTATTCTTATCATTAAAGCAGTGTTAAAAGTTGTATATTCATTATCATTATTCTCATTGTTAATGATTGCGTTATTAAAATCTTTATTTACATTCTCTTTCTGCATCTTAGGGACCGATTGAGTAATGGGATTTAAGCGACGTTTTAAAAGATAGGACCTCAGATCGCCATATTTTGGCTCTTGGATTATTATGTACAAAGTGCCTTGTAAAAAAATGTATAGATCATCTGTATAAAAAATAAATATATACTCTGATATTCGCACCAACCGTAAAACGTACTAATGTTTTCATGTCTCTCGATTTTTTTCATCACTTGTATTTCGTTCATGACCTCTCTAATAACTTTCATGGCTATTATATTCGAATCTAAAATATGTATAAGGTATAATAAATTATGAGAATACAAAGTAGAGTTTCGTTTCCTTTGCCTTTCTTTTCTTTTATTTTCTCTCCTTTACCAGTGGCGCAGACAAGGGGGTTACATAACTTACAGTAACAAATAAAATAAAGTTTTTTATTATTCTATCTGTAGATGTGTTTTATTTCCTCCGAGATTTCCCTTTCATAGTTTTACTCTATTTGTAATAAAATGATTGCATAGTGATGTATCTCGCTTTAGTAATAACTGATTTTTAAATTGTAAGAGTTATCAATACATGTGAGTTTTTGACCCGGTTTCAAATCTCAGTCAAGATTTGAATTTATCTTTGCATATATTTATTATGCTAGTGGGATCAATTAGATCTTTTCATCAGACCTATTTCCTCAGGTGGTACCCCCCTCCCTATTCGAGAAAAAAATTATTTTTTTGTCCGACCAAACTAATTCCCGTTAAAGAATCGTCCATTCAGATTCAAAGTTTTAGAAAGAGGGTCGACTCCGATCTAATTCAATTTTTTTTAAACTGTGAATTCTTATTTTAATGAAGGTGAAAAAATTATAAGCGCTCAAGGAAAATATAAAATTTTAGTGTATTCTTGGGAAGAATATTTATATCCTGTAAAAATTAAAATGTTAAAATATGGTTATCCGACCGATTTTGAGAGACCGGCCCAATTAATCTGAGTTCGGTTTGATCAGCATTCGGATTGGAACTCGTGCAAAGTCAGGTTGGATGTGAATTCAAATCAATTTTTAGCGGAGCTCTATTACTAATATATCAGAAATAGACAAAAGCTTGAAGTGGTTTATCCATAAAATTTTCTTCGTCAATGATCATTGAGATCTTTTCAATAAAGATTTAAGTCAGCAGATTAGCATGGTATATTAAAAATAAATATCATTTTTTTATATGACTTGCCTGGAAAAAAGGTTTATAAAATAAAATACTCCTTATGTATTAATAGGGTCTACATAATTATAAAAATCCTTGGTAACGAGTAACGCTGATTTTTTTGAGTGATGGTAACACGCAAAACGTTACTTTATTATTTCTTATAAACTATGGTAAAAAATATTTTTCTTATTATATATATTATGTTTTTTTCAAAGTTTTATAAATAATTTGAACCTGTTTTTATTCAGATCAACCACCAAAATTATTGATTTTTCTTTTATTACATTTATGCAGTTGAATTTTATACAGTATTGTTAATCAAATTAATATTGAATCAATAAGGTATCGCCAGTCTAGAATTGGAGTGCTCTACTCCACTTGACATTTTTGAGTTAGAGTGAATTTTAATTGATTATTTCTATGATAAATTAGAATTAAATAAATATTGTATGTTTATATTATATAATTTGATTATTTATAGTATTCTATTTATCCCTGTTTATTTATCTTTTATTTGATAAATTATCATAAAAAAATTCATAAAGTGTTTATTTTGCTCCACTTGCCTTTTGATTTTATCAAATAAAATCCCACAAACAAAAATTTGAGTAAATTTTTTAGGTTCATTTGGAAATAGTATTATAAATTACACCTCAAATTTTTACTTAAATTAATCAATAAGTTTTTCTTATATTTGAATGTAAACTTTAAAATCATTTTCTCCATTTTAAACAATTTTTGAAGTGGAGCACTTCAATTCCAGACGCTGTGCAAAACACACGTTTGACTGGTGCAGAGAATAAGAGAGTTCTATCAAAAGCTACGATGAGCTCAAGCGTTTTTATATATCTGTTGTTAAAAATAAATAAAAATTATTACAAAAACAACTTATCTTATATTATTTTCATTATATATGGGGACGCGTTACTTCTTTTAAATAACGAGTAAAGCATTCCTTTTTTTTAAACGTAAAGCGTAACGAGTAACCTGTTCTTTTTTAAGTAACGTTATCAGCACTATAAAAAAGCAATCTAAATTTAAATACTTTATACAATGGCAGCATAGAATCTATAAATATTTTATGCAACACTTTCATTTATATTTTAAAGATTCTAGGGCAAAAAAAATTGGGGATATCAAAAAAATTAGGAAAAATATAGAAAGAGACTGAAAAATATCAAATTAAACTATTCAAAATAATTTATAAATATTCGAATCATTAGTAAATATATTACGTAAGATTTTAACACTATATTTTAATATTTATATTTCCTTTAGATTACAGCATGTATTTATTTGATTGGTTTTTTGGTTAAACACAAGTAAAAAAAAATATAGAAGCATCTTACTTACCTTCTATAGCACTCTTGATCCAAACTTTTCTATAACTATTATTCCATGTATCATAATAAATTCCGCGAAATATTTGTTGGTACATGTTCTTGCTCATTAGCTGTTTAAAATGTAATAAATTATTTATTTAATAATGCTCATTATACAAAATATACAGTAAAATAAAGACTGCTTCTTTATATTTTTAATTTTCATTTCTTAGAAAATAGCAAATTTTCCGGTAATAAACAAACAATTCCTTTAAACTTAATTTTTAAAAAAAGAAGCTTATAGTGATAATGAATTAGTTCTTGTATTCATGAAAATGGCCCGTGCAAACTGGCCGACAAATTTTGTTTCTTTTATTTTAATGTCTTAACAGGATTGTCAATGTATCTATACTAGATAATAAATGCAGTATCTGAATATTATCTAGATACATTTTCAGCTTTATCTCTATTTATTTTTTGATGCAATTTTGTTTTGCATTTTTACTATATTCAAAATATTTAACCCTATTTTTTCTAAAAAATTTATTAAGTATCTCGATTTTATTTCTTTACAATTAAAACAAGATAAATTTGCCAATAACCAATAAATCTGAAAATTTAATACTAGAATTTTTTAAAAATCTTATAGATAATAAATAGGATTATAAATTTGACACCCAATAAATTTTGAATGATTTTTTTTAAAAAATGTGTCAGGCTCAGGATAATACATTATAAGATTATCCTAATATAAAAGCAGAGCTTGATTTTTTTTGATTTCTTGAAAGATTTGTATAAAATAAAAATTATAAAAGATTTTTTAAAAATGATTTTGCCATTTTTAGGTAAAATTTAATCAAAAATCTATGTTTTTTCAAAAAAATTCTTATAAAATATTTATAGTTTTAGTGTAGCCAAAAAGTTTAAGAATAAACTAAGATTCTTAACTGATTAAAACTTTAAGAATTTGTTATTATTAAAATTTAAAGATTATTTTATAATTTATATATAACTAAAATATCAAACTAAATAAAAATGTTTTGTTGACATTTAAATTTGTGTAGATTCACAATTTTGACATTATTATAATAAAAAAATCTGCCATAAATGTATCAAAAAACAATGATATCTATACATTTTTGAAAGTGTATCTATATCTAGATGCCAGTTTAAGCTATCTATCTGTAGATACATTCGAAAATTTTGTCTTCTATATTAATTTAAAAAATGGGGAAAAAAGTAATATATTTTTATATTTCAAAAGTAAATTTAATAGAATTATATGAAATAAAAAAAACCATTTTCGTGATATTTAGGTAGCTCCAATTAATTTTTCGCTCTATAGGCAATGTTTTATTAGTCAATTCCTTCTGCTGCTTTGGAGGCTTGTCATGAAGAATTTTGGATTTGTTTAATTTTTTCAGATATTTTTGATACTTTTGCGTGTCTGCACCTTTTTTAGTATTCTTTTTCTATATTTTAAAAATAATATATAGCTTTAATTATTATAAGTAAAATTCAAAAAATTTATACATAAATTCGTCCTAATTGTTTCATCAAACTTATTCCAAAAGCGATTTCCCGCAAAATGAAATTTTATTTTAAATTATATATCAAATGATGGTTGTCAAACGGTTCTAGAGTTTCACCTTTTATCCATTAAAAAAGAAAAGAAGATTGAAACACTGAGAAAAACTTTTTAAAATTTCTTTGAATAATAGGAAAAATTATTAGAATGGAAATAAAACTATCGGAAAAAAATTACTATGAAAAATTATCATAAGGGAATAAAACCACCCAGATGAAATACACAAAAAAAACCACCAACGATATCTCGGGAATAATAAAAACTAGAAATGAAACAACCATAAAATTGAAAAAACATATACCTTTTGATTTTACTTAATCTTGCTCCAAAAGCATAGCTTAATTTATAGTTTTGTTTAATTTCATAGAAACTAGGCATGGGATAAGGAATGACAAGTAACTTTTTTCCCCTCTTTCCCTTTTCATTTATTTCATAAATCATATTTAATTGTTTTTTCTTAAATTTATTTTATAATATGTCATATATTTAATAAAATACTTTTAGAATTTTAAAAAAAAAACTTATCTAGGGCAATGGTTAAATGGATCTTCTTATAAAAATATATTTTTGTTAGATTATTTTTATATTTTTTCCATGTTGCATCTTTTAAATATCTTACGATATTGCATTCTGAATTTGGAGTTTTATAAATTTTTAAATAAAAATTTGTAAATAATATATAGCCAAAATGAATTTTTTCCCCATGAATATATAGCCTGGTATCTTTTTTCGGTACTGGGGAAAAAACCCGAAAAAACCTCATAGAAGAATCCCTTGAGAAAACCCTTGTAAAATAGAAAAAAAGACAGAAAAAATCCCCCTTATTTTTATTTTGTAAAAATTATTTCCTATAATTATTTTTTCTGGCCTTTAAATTTAATTGTCCATCCACAAATACCCTATTAAGTAAACTAAACTTGATTAAATTTTGTAATAAGATATTTTTATGGAAGGCTTCATAGTGCATACCCCATCACAGTATTCATGGCAGTTTCTTTAAACGAACCTGGATATTATAGCTCTATTATTTTGTATTCAGTATTCATTTTACCACATGCCATAGTTCGAATTTGGTTTCATCGGTGCCCACCTCGCAATTCTTTTAAATCAACACCCAAATTATTGGGCTTTTTTTCCAAACAGATTAGAAAAACGATGATTTCATTCACATTGATTGTTTGTGTGTTCTTTGCCAGATAGCGAACTCTGATTCATGTTTTAGGTTTTCAGTGAAAATAGAGGCTCAATTTGACGTGAACAGAAAATTGCTTCTTGCATCTTTATATGATACTCTATTGACATCATTTTTATCGAATTAATTGAGAATATCCTTACCATTAATCATAGTTACCGTTCTTAGAAATGTCATTGCGTTGGCCATATCACATAAACAAATGCTAAACCGTCCATTATGTCATAAAAGAAGCTCAGAGTCTCTTCTGTCCTATATAGGTTTTCTATTTGTTTATGAATTTGTTTATGAATTTGTTTATGTTTATTTGACAAAATGGTAAGCACCATCTGATTACTATGTTATCTCCTAATTTAAAATAAATATATCCTGTAAATATATAAGGAAATAAATCTCTTTCCTGACATCTGGGGAGTACAATTTACACAATCATCTATAATATATAAATTTTTATGAAAATATAATTATATCTATACCAGGGCCGGAGCCAGGAATTTCCAGCTGGAGGGGGCAACTGTCTACTTAGGTGAGCCAATATTTTTTTAAAATATTAATAGTTAGGCACTCATATAAATTATTTGCTATTTTCATTAAAAATTTGGAAACCTTTTTCTCTATAAGCAATTAATACTAAATTTTGTTTACATCGATCTTTCTCAATTATCTAGTGCTGGATAGAACTCTATGAACTTTAACTTCTGCAGCTAATAATCCTTTTGCTATTTTCATTTCATGATGTAACGTTTCCATATTTAAGTTTAATAATGATTCTAATTGGGCCATTTTATCCGATATAAAATAATCAGGGTCAAAGGAGGACAATGTATTAAAACGTTATAGAAGATTATTATCATATTGTGTAAATCTATCTAAAAGCGATCTACAAAGTAATCAATAATTTTATAATAATTCTTGTTTAAAGAACACAATTTAAAGTCTTTCACTATCAAATTGAAATTTAGTATCGACTAAAAAATCTTAAAGATTTGTAGGCGTTTTAGATACCCTTGATGATTTTTGCTCAGGACATAATGTTTGCGCTATCATAACTGGCTTATTATATTGAATGAATTAATATTTAATTCATTAAGTTGCTAGAAAATATATTTAGCAATCAGCAGAAAACTTTGTAAATTAATGTTTAATAATAAATTTTCTTAGATTTTTCCATAAAAAATATAATAAATAATTATGTTCAAGTTTTCACAACTTGTTTATTTATTTGTACAAATTAAAGGTGTAATAATTTTCTAAAAATTTAGTTGTATTTTTATTTAAATAAGGCCAAAAAATTTTTCTTCCCTCCCTCGTGGCTACGTCCCTGATCTAAACTAATAGATTCAATAACTAGGACTTGTATATTCCCAAAATTTGAAGGATCTTTTTTGCCTTACGATTCCTAAGAGTCCTTTTAATGACTTGTGTGACTATAAGTTTTGGGCTAATTTTATACCCACTGCTTAAATTTGGTGATTTATTTCTAAAGAGTCTGCACATTGTTTCTTCGTGCTAGAAACGGACAGCGTCTACATGACAGGATTTTCACTGGATGCAAACCCCCCTTCAAAAACCTATGTCTACCCCCCCCCCCTTAAAAATTCCCGCCTTTAATTATAATGATACTGTTTCAGAAAATTTAAAAATAAAAACTTAAATTATTTTATCTCTACTGCCAACTATCGACATTTTGTGAATATAAATTAATTATTTTTTAGATAATAAATTTAATTAAAACCCCCAACATATACAATGATGAATTCATTATTATAGCATTATGAGCTAGCTGAAAATGTCGAAACCTTTTAAATTATATTTGAAAGGATAGCAGATAGTTTTATTTGAAAAATAATGTCTATGATTTTGCAATATATAAATTTGGTTGATGAATTGTATTATAATAGGTCTATAATAAAAGTATTAATTTTTACAGCAATAAATTTTGTCCTGTTTGATCTCAAAATTTATTTATTATTTTCTATTGTGTACTATAACCATACCGACGCAGAAATACCCGAGGTAAGTTATTACACCCCGATAGGACAAGAAAATTGATAATATAAATTTGCCTAAAAGGCCATATAACACTAGATCTCACTCCAAGTCTGAGAAGAGCGCTCAACTCAAAACCTTGAGAATATAAGAGCTACATCGGTTAACAACCAAAGAGCCACTGATGACAAATTCACTAATCTCAACCATAAGGTAGACAACATGATAGGCAAGATGACGGAATTCTTCGCCAGGATGGACAACATCAAAGTCGAAAACAAAGCCGCCACAGAGCCCATTCTTCTCAAGATTTTCACCAAGACAGAACACACAGCGTTAGCCCCACCGCTAGTAGATCTAACCATTGATTCAATGGAATTCCTAATCTCAGATGATGAATTACGATCGTTAAACATCCCTGCGGAGACCTACAAGACTAAGTTAATAAGGATAGCAAAACACTTCACTAACGCAATCTGTCTAGGAGAGAAATCCCAAGGCTTCCAGTTTAAGGGAAGAGACATCCATGAATTCATCTCCTTGAAAATCGCAGTAAAAGAAATGAAGGAAGACAATTTGCTAGAGTTCCTAAGAGACGTTGCAGCCAAGGCTCAAGTATACGCCAAGTCGATTGCATGGGGTTGGGATCAGATTCGATGGGAATGGCACCAAACGATAGTTCGTAAAAGGGCCTCCACCCATGCCTCAAGACCAGCCCTTTCGAACCCCCCCCCTGCCTCCTTCGCGGGAAAGAAGACAGGGACATCAAGCGCCCGCAATAGATCTCCTGTTGGAAACGATGACTCTAGCCAACCCACCACTAGTTACGGACCAGCTTAACATGGATTCCCTAACAGAAAGAAGAAATCTTCAAACCATCCGTGAGTTCATTCAGTCCATTCCACCGTCGCCGATAGACCTGGGAATCGCCGAAGCCCTGGCTCCGTGGGCTGACAATTGCATCAATGACCTAGGCCGAGCGGAGATCCGGCAATGGGTTAAAGATGTGAGGCGCCAAAAATTCTCACCTACTGGAGTCGCAGGCCACTAGGAAGAAACGGAGGAATAAGAAGACGCTGTATCTACCTCTAGCGAAGATACTATCCACGATCTCCCAACCACGGAGCAGTTCGATCATAATGGTGAACCGATCATAATGGGGAATATCTTCGCAGATCGGATCACTCCATACGCAGCTGCTATCCTGCCACCGTCAGTGCCGACGGTGGATAGTAACTCCATCGGACAATTCCATAGGTTACTTAGACTATTGGGCGTCGACACCGCGGACCACGTACAACTCGATCTAGGAGCAACCCTGGGCCTCTCAGCCTCTACGTTGAAGTCTTACCCAGATCAGTCACCATTCACCAAGAGAGTGGCTCTGAGCGGTTTCTGCCCCAAATTCGATAATCAGGCTATTAGTGACAATGGGGGGGGGGGGGTCCAAAATAGATTCGTCAGACTAGCGGCAAAATATCTCCCAATCATCAATCAGCTGGTCGATGGAGGAGTGATCGAAAGGACAGATACGACCTTTTGTTCACCACTATTCCTCATTCCAAAACAAGATGGGACACCCAGGGTTATCTCTGATTTCTCGAACGTCTCGCGCAATTTTATCCGATATCCGTTTAAACTTAGAACCCAATGATAGCCCCGTTATTGGCAACGTCAACAAAAGCCACGAAAATTGACCTTAA